TCACACAATATTTGTTGTGCACTTAACTCGGTCTCTCTCCCTTGTTCACTTCATCTTTATCCTATCTATATAATTTTGAGAAATAACTAACGAAACAAATTGCTTCCACTTGCTACCGATATTGATCTTTCACTCACTGTATACAGAAACCAACGACTGTTGTACATTTGAACACAACATTTCACCATTCTTTCAAACTATATCCATCCAATGTGCCGTGAACTGTATGCATCTATCGTTATTTGCTATACATATTTTTGTACACAATTCATACATAGCTAAAACCGTTTTATTTCTCTCCGTCTCGCTTAATTCCGAAATAAATGAAAGTATTGCAATAATTTAAGATAAAGTTCAAGTAAACCCATTACCATTCTTAATCAGAAAATGTAGTTAGAATACTATTTATACGTATGTGTAATGAGTGTGTTTATTGTAGAGAAAATAAAAATAAATTAAGAAAGTTGAAAAGTTGAAAATCGTTTACCTTTCAAAGTTGGTTAGCTGTTTTTTCTATGTGTGTGTATGTGTGTGTGTGTGTGTGTATGTGTGGATGTGGATGTGGGCAACACCGCAAGTTTGATGATGGAAACGGAAAAATGACTATGGAGCAAAGTTTCTCTAAACTATGTAAAATATTCTCACAAAAAAGTTAACACACTTTCAAATTGATACTGCATTATGATCGTTGTACGTATAAAGGATTTGACCACGAAAATCAGATAGATCGTTGTATCGTTGCCCGAATGCCTCTGCTTAACAGACACCAGACTTTGTTACTTCGAAAGACCGAAAAAAAATGTTCTTTAACGCAAAATTACAAAAGAATCTCAAACATTTTTTTTTATTCTTGGCTATCCCTATAAAATGCACGCAAAATACGACCATATTATTTTCGATGATGGTTCTTTTTCTTTATATTCTTTCCACATAAATGTCATAAATGAAACCGATATTACGGTGTTTGTTATTCTAACTTTGTTTTCTTATTATTTGAAAGTTTTCGAGCACACACATACAAATTCACCTGTACTAAACGGGATATTAAAACTTTTCATATCATTTCTTTATTTGAATTTTTCGAAGCATTAAAGAATGAAAACGAGAACAAACGAAAAAGCGTGTGTGTGTGTTCTTTTTGCCTTTAAAATATTCGAATAACCCCGGCGCAAATGTTTAATTGATCGAATGCAAATATTTAACTTTTTTTTTCTGTTTGAAGCGGAAAAACCAATTTTTTTAAATCAAAAAATGAAGGTCAACTCAACCTTATTACGAATAATTTTAGTGAATCGAATCAATGGTCGAAGTAGTTCGATTGTTGGAATTAACTATTGTTTGATCACACTGACTGAGCCGGATTTTAGTTCTGACCTTTAGATATCGGAGTTCGGCAATAAACTGAAGATATTTTTGAAAAGATGTAAACAAAGTCGAGTGAAGCCGCAGATTGAACGGCTTTGTTCTCCTGTTGAATGCACACGTTCATACATTTTCCATGCTATAGTGCCTCCATTGGAGGGGAAATTTTGATTGGCTTGTTAACTTTGCGCCGGCGCAAAATCCAACAAACAAACACTTGTTGTCGTTCTCCAGTGTATTTAAATCATTCAGTCAGTCAGTCAGTGTCTATGCAGCTATGGATTATCCTCGTATCGTTGGATGGTTTCATTTCACCATTGCACTCCACGCATATTGCCGCTTGTCGATGACGACGACAACGAAATGATTCTTCTAAAGCATACCATGTGTGTGCTTCAGGTTTCTTGTGCACTTTTCTGCCATCGGACCTAATTGAAAATTTGGAGTATTGTGTGCTGTGTATAAAAGACCACTGACGGCATTTTCAAATGCATATTATCATGATAATGGTAGTTACGAATGTAATTAGCAAATACAAATTGGATTATATTGTTAGCCAATCGTAGATATAATTTTAATTTGTTGAACAAAAGCCATAAATTTGCTCGTCTATTCAACAAACACGATTTCAATGCCATTGAATCAATGGCGACGGTAATGCATGTCTACGATTCGAACTGCATCTTATGCTCAAATTAATTACGGATAATCCTTTCTTCTCTCCTTTTTTTGGCTCGTGTGTGCTCAATTATTTGCATTGAACAGGATTGGGGAACAGTAGCGCGGCACAACTGACGAAAACCGAACAGTGAGAAGAAAAGAACGCAGCCGCTGATGCTCTACGACAACAAATCACGTTGTACACGCGGCGGCTATCAACCCGTCTGTTTTTCATTTAACGGATTTTGGTTTTTGTCTTTTTTTTTGTTCGCATACGCACATCCTTCGGCAATTTCGTCTAGCAAGCAGATTTTGCATGATGCGTGCGTGCCCTTTCTTTATTGATGCAGCACAATCTTGCCACACACACACACACACACACACACAAACACACAAACACGCCGAGCATACAACAACACAAAAAGACATAAAAGTCCAGGCTGGAAAGTACTTTCGTTGTATTATATATATACAGTATACAACTACTAATAAATCATTTCGCTCAAATTGATTTGGATTGGACGTACGATTAGTTTGTCGCTGAATATATATGTATACTTGTGTGTTTGTGTCCCGATGCCATAGCATCACCGTAACAAGGGTTAAAGAGCACAAGAACTTTTGATTCAGCAGAAAAAAACATCATTGGGTTTTTATCTCAATCCTGCAATGCTTTTTTCGCTCTCTCTCTGTCTCTTTGGGTTCGGTGTTTTCATTCTCACCCTTTTACGCTATGCGTTTTATTGTTTGCTGTTTTGGCGCCATTGAAACAAGAATGAAAAAAAAAGAACTCGATACACAAAGAATTCATCGAGAGAAATAGAGAGAGAAAAAAGCGCATTAAAGTGTAATGAAACTGTGGAAAATTCAATTCACTGGGGAGGCTGCAATCGGTTCGCTGATAACAAAGTGCCATTTGATGCTCGAAAGTTTTAACGACATATGAGGATTTTTGTCGAAGAAAATTGCAAAATAAACGAATCAACAGCGGCATTTTGCCAATCTATCGCTTGGTTGGTCTATCGTTACGCGTGTACACTGTACAGTGTACACTGTGTGTGTGTCTCGTGAATGCGACTGGACGAAATCATCGATTGTGTGTCGAACAACGTACCAACGATAACAACGGTTGATTCACACTGTAATCGCACCGAAAAATCGATGTACCAAAAAAAAGAAAACATGCAAGATAATTGAATTTCAAATTGCGTAAATTAAGTGACGGTGAGAGTTTCTTAGAGCACATAATACTACATAAATACACACACACACACACACACACACACACGGACTACAAGAATAAATCGAATGTAATACAATCCGCTGAACTGCAAATGTTTCAACACATATTCGCTTCTTCTTTTTCTGCTGCCGTATGCATAAATGTATGGAGCTACTGATGAAGATCTTCGATTAAACTAAATATTCGATGAATTCAAATCGATTCGGAATGAATCGTTACAGTGCATCTCCAGTCTCATCGCTGAATACAACCGTGCACATCAAACAATATTTCTGATTTGATATGTTCAGCCAGTTTGCCATGGTATTGACGCGATCTGTATGCGTTCCAGCACAAATGTGAACTACCTTGTTACATTTCCATTCATTCCCGAGTGGTTGTTGTCGCTTTCGTTGTTACTGTAGTTATCCATAGTTACGGGGTATTTGTTAAATCTATACCAATATCCGTATTATTATCCGTAGTTTTTTTTTCTGTTGCCTGCCATTCACTTGGTTTGTCATACGAAATTCATGAAAATTATATAATTTTTGTTGTATTTAAATAGACACATAAAAGAGTTGAATGTAAAAAAGGTGAAAAAGCAAAGGGTGTATACAACAATGAGTGTGTGACGACAAAATACGAAATACACATTTATCGACGCTACTATTATATGCAAATATAAATAAACAGGAAGGAGTGGAGAAAAAAATACCACACTATCATTGCACGAAACCGTGGGGAACACAACAAGAGAAAATTGTACAGAAAATACATATAAAAAAAACAAAATGAACATGATAAACGAGGAAGCAAACGAAATTGAAGGGGTTGACGAGGATGATCCATGTTTGTCGTTTGTATCGAATATTGTGCTAAAAACGATGAGAATGAAACACGAAAAATGGATAAAAATGATGACAACTGATGAATATAAAGTGAGTGCAAAATTGATGTTTACCTAATTTGATTAGCTTAAACCAACAGTTATGGTGATGCCATTTGAAATGTATAACATGATATGATGTATCAATCTGTTTTATTTTGGTTCCGTGTGTTTTTGATGTATACGAATACGAATACATATCTGACTGGTTATTTATTCGATGACTGGAATGGGATTGGATGATTTGACCTCCGCTATAGTCGATAGTGTTTAAATGGCGCTTGAATATCAATGAGCCAATGCTGATAATCTCATTAACACCAACTGGGGCTCTCTGTGCGAATTTGGCCTACACCTCATCATCGATTCGGGGAAAATCTTGTTATTTTATCAAGAAACTACCGCAGGCGTTAAACATTGAAGACATTCACTCGGTCTGTATTTGTTCAAATAATGAGCGAGAGTGTTTTGTTTTTGTTTTTGTTAACACACGCACTCTGCCTTTCCGTTTTTATTTTGGTCGGTCGTTCGTTTGTTCGCATTTTAGCTGATCCTCATTCACCCTCACTTCACTGAGTAAATGCCGCACCATCCCCAAAATTCTATGTCCAATTCCATTTGGGACACCTCATAACTAATTATAATCATTGGTACTATATACCGATACCTGGTTTTATGCACGTGTCTCAAATAAATATTTATATTTCGGTTTAAACAGATGTTGCTGTTCGGCGACATATCATCGTCAACATTGGACACCTTCAATGTTTTGATAGAAGAAATCTACGGATCATTGCTCAACAATCCACTCAACCGAAATACATGGCCAAAATTGCTGCATATTGATGTTTCGGATAAGTTTTATGAAGTCTTGGAAGATGTGGCCGTCGTAATGGGTAACTTGAGCAATAAAACTTTTTTGCCGCTGCCGATGAATGTGAAGGAGTTTACCGAAACGGTTGAACAAATTGTTCTTGGGTTAGTAAATGAATGTCGTTTATGTATATATAGAAATTATTATGCACTCTAGCAAAAAAAAAACTATTAAATGAAGCCACATGGAATGATGTGCTAAAATGGGTTGTTGCTATTGTTGTTGTTGTTGTTGTTGTTTATTTTTCGGATTACCCAAGGACGATGGCTTGTGACACAAAGTTGCAAAATTTGCTGGAAGGAATCGTCATCAAATGGAGCTACATTATCAACGATATTATGATTGAAACATCAGAGAAACTTTTCCAAAATGATGCCCAACCCATGCCACACGACGAATACACATTTTGGAATAAGCGATTGGCCAATTTGGAAAATTTATACAAACAATTAACCGAAAATAATCGAAAAATGGTGGGCGTAATACTCGAAAAAATTGAATCGGTTTATTTTACAGCATTTCGACAATCGTTCGAGAATGTGGTGGCGGCACTCACACAGGCCCGCGACGTTACAATCCATTTGAATGCATTTGCAAAATGTACACATCTCTTTCAAAGCCATCATTTTCTCGAATGTGGCGCACTCATCAAACCAATGCTGCATTGTATGTGCCTCATGTGGTCACAATCAATTTACTACCCGAAGGAAAGCTGGCCGCTCCTCTTCAGACTGATTGGAAACATGCTAATTGATGAGTCAATGAACGCATTGGATGCAGAAACTTTATTTCAAAACGACATTGAAGACACCATCATGAAAATCACCGAAATTGTTGCCATTCTAAATATGTACAAGTGAGCTGAAATTATGATCGATAATAATATAATAGAGTAATTGTTGTTATGCTTATGCTAATGACATTGGCATTTTGGTTTCTTAGGAGTGAGGTGGTGTCGCATAAAGCTAGACTGGACCAATACAAAATCAAAAGCAATCAACCATTGATGATGAAATGGTCTTTTGATGCAGAAACAGTGTTCGAGCGTCTGAATGCCTATTTGATTCGTTTGCACGATGTTAATGACATAATTGTTGCGGCAAATGACTTTTTGAAATTGGAAAAGATCGAAATTGGTGGTATCAAGGGTCGTCACTTGTGCGAACGCATTCGTTCTGTTCTTGCCGAATTTCATACGCTGTACAGTTCATGCATTGCAAACCACACGAATTTGTTGGAACCATCGAATAATCAATTTAAAGAATTAAAGAGAAATTTCCAATTGAACATCACCATTTTAGAGAGGAAATTATCGCAAATTTTCATGGAAACATTTGTGAATTGCAACAGTGCTGAATCAAGTATTAAGACCATTGAAATGTTTGGCAGCTTATTGAAACGACCCATAATAAATGAACAAGTTTCAAATCAAATTGAAAACGTCATCAAAATTATTCAAAGCGATATTAACGAAGTTCACAGCTTATTGAAGGACAGTTCACCTGGCAAACGAATTTTGGTAATTGGATGAGCTTTTTTTTAAAGAATCGCAAACCTTTGATTATGTCATTTTATTGCCAATTCTACCTTGTCTGTGGTTTTCTATTATGCTCTGGTCAATTTAAGCTGCCGCATGTTCGATACTCTTCACCCATCGCAGACTATTTGAATTGGCTGAACATGCATCGGCGGCGTCTAGGACAACTCACCGAATGCATTACATTCGTAGAATATTCGTAAGATATTTGATTTTATAAAGAAATACATTAGAAAAGGAAAAAACGGATTCATTTCCATTAGAATACCCGCATTTTTCCCGTAGGATTTTTGAATCAGCCGATGGGCAGCAAGCAATTAAAATGAAAGACGATCTAATGGTTTTGATCGAACAAATGGAATGCGACATGTTGGCACACTGGTCAATGGACGTAACGGAGACAATCCATGCATGTACATTGCAAAACTTATTGATGAAGACAGAAAAAGATCTGGTCGCAACGAATTTCGACCAAAATGTAAGCATAACTCACTCGTTCTAAATCTACCTACCTACCTACCTACCTACCTACCTACCTACCTACCTTTCGCATAATGTAATTAGGATTCGTGGTTGCCATGAAGCAATGTGAAATAAGGTCAACCACGATAAAAGGAAAAACGTCAGTACAATGCATGTCGTAATACATGACAAAGCAGACAGGCTTCACTCTTCACAAAGAAACAAAACGAACTGAACAGAAGAGACGAAAAGCAAAAGGACAGAAAAAAACCATTTTCGTTTATGTTTTGGATGAAGGTTCGTCATTGTCTGAGAATTCAGATCGGATTTGTCCTTTATGGGAGCAAATTACCGTGATTTAAGACAATGTATTACGACTTTGGCTGCAGCGTATAAAGTTGTTTGTATTCCAATGTTTATAGCAGAACACAACCGATCCCTTCACATATTTAGATACTTAATAACACTAAGATAAAGATAAATGCAAATCAGTTTTGCACAATGAACTTCGACGTATACGTTGCAGTTGGTTGCGCTATACGCTGAACCCGAAGCATTCTCACGATGAAAAACGTGATATCCAGTTCACTACACATTCTCATTCGTTCATTTTTTTTCATTGAAAATATTACCACTTTTCACCCGCAGCTGGATCTTGCACTGAAGGAATGTGCATTACTGATGAGAATGGGTCATAATAATTTACCGCAATGTGCATTAAATTTGTATAGAATAAACGACTCACTGTGGGTAAGTACTTAGTACATTCATCTCAAGAAGGCGATGATTGGCCGGATATTCAAAGCCATCCGCTTGATGCGCACTTAGTACTACTATGAAGGCAATCAATTGAATTTTTGGCTAAAATCTTTTTGGCTAAAATCTTTTTGGCTGAAAAATACACAATTCCCTCATCGATGCCAAAATGCAAACGCCTCTCCTCCGACGAATCTCTCCTCCGACACAATTTTCGCATACTCAACAAATTACGTCAAACAGCATCAAATTTTCTATACAACCATAATTCAATACACAGACAAAACTTATAAGCGAAAAGAACATAAATAAAAAAGTTCAAGCATGCACAAATCTAATCTCCATAAAATAATTTAAACACACAAATGAAAAAGTATAAACACAAACGGAAACTTTTGAATTGTGCATATGATATGCAAATATATGGCGTGTTGTTTAAGTTAGTGGTTGTATATTTGAGTATGTGTGTACGTGTGCATGTACGTAACTGAACGTATGTGTGTTGAAGAGAACAATTTTTATGACCTACTTCAACCCATGTTCTTAATGTTATGCTAAAGATAAACCAAAAATCAAGCGCCTTATCTGCACACATGCCGAACAGATGAAACGTGATGAACACGCGAATGAATTCAATCTGCTTGTTCCATCCATGTTGCAGGAGTCTCGGATATCACTGTTGCGCATAGTTGAATATTATAATTTTGTCCGTGAAAAGACCGAAAAATGCGAATTTGATATCATCTCTGGGCAAGTCGAAGTGATTGCAGCTGATTTGACGGTTCTCATGGAAAATTTCACTTGGATCAACTTTGGTAAAAAAAATATATGTGTATATTGTTGCGTTTGTTCGGTTCGTTTTTGGTTGCGTTTACAATTAAATTAACTACAAACACACTTGCTTTGGCGGTTTGCTATATGTTGACTTTCCAATTTTTAACTCATTTATTTTGCTCAAGTTATTTTGCATAAGTAAGCATAACGTACCAAATGCTATAAACTCAGATAGATGACATAGATATCACACACCATTCGCACTACGCTTTTCTTTTTAGCGGCGCACATTCAAACTTAGAATTTTTTTATGCACGAATTTATATCAGCTGAACACATTTCTATCCAGTTATTTCATTCGGGTTGGTAATCCCTTCTCTCTCTCTTTGTCTCTTCTCATCCTCTTCTCTCCACTTTTTTCCTCTTCATTTTCGGATTATCACGTCTTTTTTGGCTATATGCGTATGCGTGTATGTGTACGCGCGCGCGCGCTCAGACCAAAATTGCGTTAAAATGATATACGAGAAATTATCTCGTCTTTATCATCGAATAATAAAGACTCATGAGAATATCAATAATATGCTGGATAGCATACGAATTTGGGGCAAAGTGCCATTATATCAACGCCGAGAGGGCAACGCGACTTCATTATTGGATATCGATGACAGATCGCTAAAATGTAAGACGCGCTGCGTTGAGGTGAACAATTCAAAGAAACTTATTGAATACACCATGGAAGAGAATTATCGACTGTTGTTCGGCATGCCATTACTCGAGCGGAAAAAAGAGTTTGGCAAGGATCGATTGCGTAACACAATTATTCGGAAATTCGGCAGGCACCAAGCGAAAGACAAATTTGAACGAATGCCAAGTGTGGTAAGACGCCAAATTTTGTTTGTTTGTTTAACTTTAAATTTATTGAAGTAAACTTTTATCATTCTCTCTTTAGTAATTTAATGCGGCATTTCTATATATTCATTGTATTTTATTTCGAATCCAATTTCCAGGTTGAGTTGGTGCACATTGATGTGGTTGCCGGTGTGTCTGGGCAAAGTGAAAAAATCGTGAAAAGTGAAGATAATCTGAAGCTTTTCCGACCGTACGAGGAATACGTTGACAAATTAATATCACAAGCGCTGCTTAGTGGTGTTGAGTCGAGGTTTGTGTATTTTCTCTCTCGCACGTTTGCTCGCTCTTCTGCGTTTTTTTTTCTGTTTGCACCAAAATTCCGACTAATTTTCTCAGATTTAATTCAATTATGTGTTTTATAGTAAACCTAAACGGAGCAAAACGAGCGATAACGTTAATTATAATCACCATACTTTCAGTTTGAAAGCAGTTGTGGTCTCATTACACTAACAATTTATTGCGCAATATCGTTTTTTTACTTCGTCTACTGCATTATGTGTCAGTGATGTGTCTGTCAAACAAAACACCAGAAGCAAATACAAAAACCATTTAAGCCATTTAAACCGCTTTTGCATCATTTAGACATTTATTCAACGAGATTATACCGACACTCGTTCTTCCACGTCACACTGTCGTTTCCACTTGCAACTATGGGGTTCGTATGAGCATGCATTTCGAATGTTTCAATGTCGTTAACCACAGCGCACTCAATAGATTGAATCCATGAGAATGTATGCAAACCATTGCAGAAAAAAAAACTAAAACAAATACACACACGTGCATTGAATGTAGCGCAGCACATAACTTGTGACGAAAATGCCAATTTCGAAAACGAATTTCGAAGAAATTGTATTATTTTAAAGTGATTTTGTGAGCGTATATGATTTTATCACAATTCGATGAACTGAACACTTCTTGTTCCGTGCAACAACGACTTCAGCCGTATTTGTGTATGAGTGATTTGGTGGCCGTTGACTTCATCAAACCAAGATGGAGGAAAAAATAAACGGAAGATCTAAATTGTAATGAATGAACGTGAGAGTACTTCACCAAAAATAGATTCGAATCTAGTTGGAATGTGTGCGCGTGAATCTGATGTATACCGAAGACGTTGTCATTCACCCTCAATGTTTCAGAAGACTATGAATAAGATAAACATAATTGATTAGGTGAAAGACGCCTTTACTATGCCAGTATTTCTTCAGTTTATTCGCAGATATTTTTTTTCTCCGTCGTGCGTTTTCCTGCTTCTCAGCGATGTGTTTCATTTTTATCGTCTCAATTTATGTATTAGATTTTTTTTTGCTCTGCCAGAAGCTCAGCTATAAATATATTTTGTTGTCAATCGACTAGAAAATAGCATCACTTGCAATTGCCTTTAATGACTGATTGATTTCGAATTCTGGTAGTAACAGCCACTTTTCATACTTTGCGATAGTGCGGCCATAGTAAGCATTAAAATATCAAAGTCTACAATGTAACACAGTGTGAAATGATCACCGATAAGCATTATCTATCGGCTCATTCTTTTAATGTGGATACTTCCAAGCGTATGCAACAAAAAACAGCGCGTCTGAATTTCATGCATTAATATACCGAAAAAAGAACAAAGTAGAAATAAAAACGTCTATGAAACGAAAATGTTGTCAACATCTTATGCAATTGCAAGATAGTAGATAATTTCGAGACGGAAAAAACACGAACATAATTGTTTCTTTCGTATTTGTTGCTGCTGCTGTGTAATACACCGGCGATATTGTGTTGATTTTAAATTGCGAGCGTCTACATCCCATCACTTCCCACAGAGAAGCGCACAATAAGATGTTATTGTCACAATAACGTAACGAGTGGTGTGTCACTCGCTCGTTCTTACACTCATCCGCACGAGTCGTCTCACATAACGGTGCAATGGCTACTTGATCAGTTGCACGCAATGCTGTATATGCGTACGACTGACACACCACTCGTTACGTTATTGTGACAATAACATCTTATTGTGTGCCTCTCTGTGGGTTCCATCTGTTCTCACCGATTCAAGGAGGAATGTACACGCGACTATGCTGACTCAGAGTGGAGAGAAAGAAAAATAATCCGAAACATAAGCCAACTAATGATATCGTTTGAATGGACAAAATTTAAATAAATATGTGGTGTGCGATGCGCGTATGCCCAATAGATAGAATCATTGAATAATAGAATATATATACATAAATTTATACATATCTAGACCCAAACACAAATGTTCTAAAGGCCTCATTTTGTATGATTCCATTTCCTTTTCAATTTAGTTTATCGTACATACTGAGTGGAATGAGCGAGGGAAACGCATTCAATGATAAAAATAATGACAATTCAAAGTTGTTTCGCATCAAACTGGAACTTTGGGACAATCAACTGAAGTTTGTTCCAACTTTGGCGAATGAAAATGACAAAGACAGCTTTATGCATACGATTAAGAGTTTAATAGACGACATTTGCTCTGTCTCACATCAAATTGATAGAATCGCTCAGCCAATAAGTGATTGCTCATCAGCCAAACGAACATATCAAAGTAAGTAAAGAGGCAAAAACGCGGGGAGGATGTTGGGTTTGGTAGAGAGGAAGTATTTAGATAAGAAGCTTTAGTAGTTTAAAACTGAATACATCGCACAAGCTTCCAATACGTTTACTATATGCGAATTACGAATTTTCCATTTATTTTTCCACATCACTATCATTTTCTCCAGTTGATTTAGATGAAAACAGAGATATTCAAAACATACGGAATATGATTTTAAAACATGCACAGAGTGCGAGCATCGACGCTCTCAATTACATGAAAACATTTTCAAAGTATCAGTACATTTGGCTGGAGGATAAACAGTCGTATTTAAAGCGATTTTTAAATGAATGCGAACAAAAATGCCTTAAGGATGACGATTTTCCGGGAGATAACATCGAGGATCCCAATGCTCAAATCGAGATGTTTCAAGCTCAGGTATGTATGTAGCGTATGAGCGTGTGTAGCGTACATTTTGGCCTTGTGTTTTCTATGATACACTGTACCAGTTTCATTTTACGAAAGCCTTCGTTTGACTACAGATCGAAAATTGGTTGAGTGTATTCGACGACTTTGACAGACTAGCAAATTATCAAACTATACATGGTTGGCTTCTGATTGACATACGGACATTTAAACATATCATTTTGAACCAGTGCTCCAAGTGGATTAATATGTTCAAGGAACACTTACTGAACTACGTTCTAAATCGTTTGAATGTAAGAATTTTCTCCCTTCAATCCCTGTGTGCGGCCAAACACACAAACTCATAATCACTCAACTTTCAAAGAAGCTTTTGAAATGGTGCATTTATGCACACTTTAGAAGCAAACACACACAAATTTGCTTACCTTTTCTTATTACAGGAACTGGAAGAATTTATCAACAAATCGAATGAAGTTTTGTCGTTGGTGTTTGACTGGGATGACTCAAATTCATTATTACGCATACTTAGCGTGTTAAACCAAATAAAAGAATACGAACCTTCAATTAAAAGCCTATTTCCATCACTCAAGAAAATCATTTATATGATAATGCAGTACGACATCAAAATTCCGAAGAAATGCTCAAATCAGGTGGGTAAAGACCAAAGTTTCTATTTGCTAAACAATACACAACAAGTTCATTGAATTCAAACATACCAAACGGATGGCGTGTGTATCGTGTATGCGTGTGCGTCATCAGTTTTCAGATTTGCCGGAAAAATGGTCCACCTTGTTGAAAAACGCTTCAACAATCAAATATGCAATCGTTCCAATTCAAGCCCATCAAATCGATTTGATCCAGCAACGCATAACATTTTTTAATCAGATTTCGAAGCATTTTCGTCAAGAATTCAGACAGAAAACGGTATGTTAGGATGTACGGTCTATCAAAGTAAATACAATACACAACATAATTCTCCATTACATAGTTTTTCCTTATTCCGTGCGCAAATGTCTATGGCCTTTTGGATGAGTGCAACTTGAAAATCGTTTACTGGGAACGGCAACTTCAGGAATTAGTGGAATCGGCTTTAATTTTCGGTTTACCGCCCCCATCAAAAGTCGAGCTGGATAGTTGTCGGAGTGAAATCAAATTGATCAAGGTTCAGGGCCATCTTTTACTCTATCTCTAAACAAAATACATTGACTAGGTCTTTTGTTCGTTTTTTTTTTGTACGGTTAACGATTTAAGACATTTATCATTAGTGAATTTTAGTTTTAGATTTAGTGCGAATAATACTAAAAAACAATCATGATTTGCAGCAATTATGGGATTTTGTGAATGTTATTGAGTCATGTGTGGGGAACTGGAAGCGAACGTCATGGAAACGACTCGATGTTGAAGAAATCGAACAACAATGCAAACGATTCAGTAAAGATATAAGATCATTAGGTAAATTGATTCGTACGTGGAAACCATTCGTTTACATTGAACGAATGCTACGGAATTTGGTAACCTCTTTGCGGGCAATCACCGAACTACAAAATACAGCGATTAAGGATCGACATTGGCTTGAATTAATGAAATCCACAGGGGTATTAAATGATTAGTCATTAAATGACAAAAACTAATTTCTTCTTATCACTGATAATTAATGTACAGATTCCGAAATTACCTTCCTGATATTCATTTCTTGATAACATCTTTGCAGCTGTTCTCCAAATTTGGAATGATTTATTTGGTAATTAATTTGCACTTGTAATGCATATCGATAAACTCTCATGCATTAATCTCATTTGCGTACGTTGTGCTTTCTTATTAGCTAAATATTCGATTGAACAAATCGACAACGCTGTCGGATTTGCTGAATTTGGGTTTGCATGAGTTCGAAGATGAGGTAAAACAAACGGTTGACAAAGCGGTGAAAGAAATGCAAATGGAAAAAATCTTAAAAGACATTGAAGCACAGTGGGCCACACTAACATTTGACTATGAACAGCATTCGGGTGGCGTTAAAATGGTAAAAGTGTCCGAAGATTTGATTGAAAAATTGGAAGAGAATCAAGTGCAAATTCAAAATATGGCCACGTCCAAGTACATATCATTTTTTGAGAAAGAAATCAAAGAATGGGTACACAAACTAAGCATGGCTGATATGATAATAATGACGTGGTCCGAAGTGCAACGCAAATGGATTTATCTGGAGAAGATTTTCTCGGGCTCGGAAGATATACGAAAGCAGTTGCCAACGGATTCGGAACGTTTTATGAAGACAAATCATGCATTTCATGAAATACGTGAGATGATATTGAACGAACCAAATGTTTTGGTCGTGACAAATCGATCGGGACTACACCTGCAAATGGAAGACATTTTATCTGAACTGATTTTATGCGAGAAAGCACTAAATAACTATCTTGAAACGAAACGACTGGTGTATCCACGATTTTATTTCATTTCGTCCGTTGATTTATTGGACATTTTATCGAATAGCAATGATCCCGAGATAGTAGGGCACCACTTGCCCAAGCTATACGATTCGATACGACGATTGAAATACAAGAATGGTAGTAAACTCGCGATTGGAATGTACTCAAAGGATCATGATGAATACGTGGCATTCAGTGCGGAATGTAATTGCAGTGGAAAAGTTGAAGATTGGTTGAATCGCGTGACCAACATCATGCGATACACACTGAATCGTTTATTTGCTCAATCCATCGAACTGTATGAGGATAAGACACGTGACAGTTGGATATTCGATTGGCCAGCACAGGTAGGTCAGCAGATATATGTATTGTTGTGCCAATCTTCCGCGCACACCCACACAGCTGATGAGCAGTGTATGTTGTTATTATTGTTGTTTTTTTTCATTCAAGGTTGCTCTATGCATATCGCAAATTTATTGGTCAATCGAAATCAATGAAATTTTCACAAAAATTGAAGAAGGTTATGAGAATGCCATGAAGGACTATCAACGCAAGCAGATTTCCCAATTGAATGTCCTGATCAATTTGCTGTTGGGTGATTTAAGCAGCGGAGATCGACAGAAGATTATGACCATTTGTACGATAGACGTGCATTCGCGTGATGTTGTATCGAAAATGATTTCACAAAAGGTTACCAAAAGCTATGAATTTCAATGGCAATGCCAATTACGCCACCGCTGGGATCGTTCCGATCAGGATTGTTATGTGAATATTTGCGATGCCGAATTTAAATATGATTATGAGTATTTGGGCATCACGCCTCGTTTGGTAATAACACCATTGACAGACAGGTGCTATATCACATTGACACAGGTACACACACATTTTCACAGTTCAATAAATGGAAACAAAATGAATTCCATTCGAATATAGCAACGAGACATCATTTTAAAATACAACGAATGAATGAGCAATCGATTAAACTGTCTTTCATTCTGTTGGCAGTCTTTGCATTTGATACACGGTGGAGCGCCAGCTGGTCCTTCGGGCACTGGAAAAACGGAGACGACTAAAGATTTGGCCAAAGGCTTAGGAATGATGGTTTATGTCTTCAACTGTTCAGAACAGGTATTTTATTTATTAATAATTTTTCAAAAAAGTTTAATTATATATAATTTTTATTTAATTATTTTTAATGAATTATTATATTTTACAGATGGATTATAAATCATGTGGCCAAATCTACAAAGGTCTGGCGTCATCGGGAGCCTTTGGAATTTTTGACGGTAAATCAATTCGAATGAAATAAAGACGAGAAAACAGCAACAATTAAAATCTATAATCTGGTATGCAGAGTTCAATCGGATTTCCATCGAAGTGCTGTCTGTGGTTGCGGTTCAGGTGAAGTGCATACAAGATGCAATCAAGGTAATTTAGTGATTTCATGTAGTTTAAATCCGTTATTTCAATTTATATTCAAAACAAACGTCACGATGAATTAAGGGTGGACGGCATTTTGTCACACTTAGAGATAAGGTAACTGCTATCGCTGAATACTGAATATTTCAATACATGTGCATGTGTGTATGTGGGAATCTGAGCAATAATTGGCTACAAATTAACATGAAAATTTGGGAAATTGGATGCATTTCACAACCTAATTGGATTACTGCGCAAAATTTCATTAATTTTTTTTTTCTTTTTCTCTTCTTCTCTCCACACTTGATTCGTACTTATTATTCAATCGGAATCGAATCAGAATAACAAATCGACATTCATGTTTATGGGTGACATGATTTCATTGGTAACGTCCGTGGGTTTATTTGTAACGATGAATCCAGGTAGAAATTTTCAATTCCAGAAATAATCAACCATATTTTATTCAAATCTCTCTGGGTTTTCAGGCTACGCCGGTCGGACTGAACTGCGTAAGGAGATTATAAAAATTCATGATGACGATGACGATAACGACGACGACAATAACAGAAACCACTTGAATTTTTTATTCTTTTTCTTCTATTTTTATATTGTCATAGCTGAGAATTTGAAGACTCTCTTTCGTCCGTGTGCAATGGTTGTGGCTGACGTCGCATTAATATGCGAAATAATGTTAGTTGCCGAAGGTTTTCAGGAAGCAAGATTGTTAGCAAGAAAGTTCATTACATTATATACGCTGTGCAAAGAGCTGCTGTCCCATCAGGATCACTATGATTGGGGATTGCGTGCGGTTAAATCAGTGCTTGTTGTTGCTGGCACATTGAAGGTTCGCAATATGTTGTTGTAAATTTCTCATTTTTTCCCCTCTTTGTTGTGTTTGGCTAACCGCAAACATTCAAATGGACAGAGAAGTGACCGACAACGACAGGAAGAGCAAGTGCTAATGAGAGCTTTACGAGATTTTAATATACCGAAAATTGTGTCCGATGACATTCCCGTTTTTATGGGATTGATTGGTGATCTATTCCCATCGATTGATGTGCCGCGAAAACGATCGTCCGATTTTGAAAAGCTAATTCGTCTATCGGCTATTGAGCTAAACTTAGAAGCAGAGGATGGTTACGTTCTAAAAGTAAATTCAAATGCCATATAAATTTATGATTACCTTTCAATTTTTTTCCTTCTATCAATTTCAAATGGGACAAACGTATACAATCCATAATAAATTATTTCCAAAAAAATAAGGTGGTTCAATTGGAGGAATTGTTAGCCGTACGTCATTCGGTATTTATTGTGGGCGAAGCTGGCACGGGTAAGTCACAAATATGGAAAACATTGAATGCTACGTACGTTCAGCAAGAGCGAAAGCCGTGTACATATGACTTGAATCCGAAATGTGTGTCGGCCAACGAGCTGTTTGGGTTTATCAATCCGGCAACGCGTGAGTGGAAAGATGGCCTGCTTTCATCACTGATAAGGGATCAGGCGAAATATGCTAATGACAATCCGAAATGGCTGATATTGGATGGAGAAGTAGACCCAATGCAAGTATCTCAAACATTCGCTTATGCATACATACATACCGTTGAACCGTTATTATTTCTAAATAATATTATCTAATCTCATTGGTTTTGAATAAATTCATCATCCGTTTTTCTCGCTCTTGAACGCGCGCATGTGTGTTTGTAGGTGGATTGAAAGTTTAAATACGGTTATGGACGACAACAAGGTGCTAACGCTGGCAAGCAATGAACGCATCGCGTTCACAAAGGAAATGCGGCTTCTGTTTGAGGTGGGCCATTTGCAAAGTGCGACCCCGGCAACTGTATCCAGAGGTAATGTTATGTCGAACCACCTTTGAACTCTAATTTTTAATTCACACAACGCATTCGTTGACACTTGCAGCTGGTATCTTATATGTGAATGACAGTGTTGTAACTTGGTATCCCGTAAGCATATTATCATAATTTCCGAAACATTTATTTGAATCACCTGTAAAGGCGCACGCCCGGTTCCTATATATATATTTAAAAGGATTATAAGCACTCTATTTATAAGCACTCTTTTTACAATTTCAAGATCGTTGCATCGTGGTTGAAAACTCGGAATAATGCTGATGAGGCAAATGATTTACTATTATTGCTGTTCGACCGTTATATTCCACCGTTGCTCGATGCCAATAAAAAATTCAATAAAATCACACCAATACCAGAAATATCATTGGTTCAAATGACCTGCCATTTACTTGATTGTTTATTAACAAACGAAAATGTACCGAAAAACTGCCCGAAAGATTGGTACGAAATTTACTTTATATTCGCCGCTATATGGGGCTTTGGTTCGAGCTTTTACGAAGATCAACAGACCGATTGGCGAATGGAGTTTAGCAAATTTTGGATAAACGAATACCAAACCGTTCAGTTTCCCGATAATGCATGCGTTTTCGATTATTACGTCGACAAAAATACGAAGCAATTCAAACTGTGGGAAGATTTGGTTCCGAAATATGAAATTGATACGGATATTCCTTTGCAGGTAATTATTTGAATGTGAATTCGGTTGGTGGATTAATGAATAAGCGAGCATCAAGTCCACTTTAACATTGATGTTTTTTTCAGTGTTGTATGATTCCTACTGCGACGAATGTTTGCCTGCGCTGGTTTTTGGACATTCTATTGGATAAAAAATTGCCGATAATGTTTGTTGGTGCGACGGGAAGTGGAAAAACGGTTACAATCAATGATAAAATTGCCAATTTGAATGACAATTATTCGGTGACACATATCCCATTGAACTACTATACAACATCGGAAATGTTGCAAAAAATTTTGGAGAAACCGCTGGAAAAGAAAGCAGGCCGAAATTATGCGCCAGTTGGTTCAAAATTTATGATTTACTTTGTTGATGACTTGAACATGCCCGAAAAGGATCCTTTCGAAACGGTGCGTCCGCATCAAATTATAAGGCAATTTATGGATTATAGTCATTGGTTTGACAGATCCAAGTTAACGCTCAAAGAGATCCATAATTGCCAGTTCCTTGCATGCATGTGCCCAACAGCTGGTGCTTTCACAATTGACACGCGGTTGCAGAGGCACTTTTTCACATTTGCCGTTAACTTCCCTAACGATGCGGCACTCTTTCTCATTTACCACACGATTTTGAGTCAACATTTGGAAAATGAAAACAAACGCTTCACCTACCATCACAAACGTATATGTAGAAGCCTCGTTTCGATGGGTTTAAATTTGCATAGCCGAATCGCACAGCTTTTTCTGCCGACAGCCCACAAATTCCATTATATATTCAATTTACGTGACTTGGCGAGTATTTATCAAGGTTTGTTGTTTGCCACAAAAGATACATGTCCCGAACATGAGGATCTGGCTCGCCTCTACATCCATGAATCGTTCCGCGTTTACAGGTACGGGTTTATTTTTTCTTTAGATATTTATAATGCCTTTATTTGTGGCTTTTTATATTATAGTGATAAGCTCATTGACGACTCAGATCTGGATGCATTTAAGAAATTGTGTCGTGAAGTGTTCAAAAAATATTTGGAAGAAATTGATGAGGCAAAAGTGTTTCGAGAGCCTCTACTCTACTGTCACTTCGCCGATGGCCTTAATGAACCAAAGTACATGCAAATCAAAGATTGGCCGTCGCTGACAAATTTGCTGTCCGAAGCAATGTCCACATACAACGAGTATGTGGGCCAGATGAATTTGGTGTTATTCGAGGATGCCATGTCGCATATATGTCGAATCAATCGAATATTGGAAATGCCCCGTGGCAACGCATTGTTGATTGGCGTTGGCGGAAGCGGAAAACAATCGTTAGCACGATTGGGAGCGTTCATTTCATCGCTGTCTGTGTATCAAATCCAATTGAGAAAAGGGTATAACATCATTGATTTGCGTTCCGATTTGAATATTCTATATCATAAAGTGGGCATCAAGAATATGTCGATAATGTTCTTGCTAACGGATGCCCAAGTTGCTGATGAATCATTTCTTGTACTCATCAATGATTTGTTGGCATCGGGCGAGATACCCGATTTATTCACTGATGAAGAAACCGATAACATAATAAGCTCCGTTAAAAATGAAGTTAAACAGCTCGGCATTGTGGACACACGTGAAAATTGCTGGAAATATTTTATTGAGAAAGTCAAGAAATTGTTAAAGGTTTGTTTTGTAGTCAACTCGTTTGTTCATCTCGTGCAGTACGCATATACTCATACACACACACACACCGATCATGTGAGACTAATAAATTTTTGAATACAGGTGGTTTTATGTTTCTCACCGGTTGGTTGCACACTGCGGCGCCGGTCTCGAAAGTTTCCCGCCCTTGTAAACTGTACCGCTATAAATTTCTTTTATGAATGGCCGAAAAGCGCTTTGGAGTCGGTTGCAAAAAAATTCCTGCTAAAAGTCGACATGTTACCCGTAAGTTGCCACTTGTTTTGCTCCACTCTGTAGACACACACACTCTCTCTTTCTCTCTTACCCGCACGATACTCGAAATGTCAAACCGTTTTGTCCATCGGCATCTTTCTCTCTCTCTCTCTCTCTCTCTCTCTCTCTCTCTCTCTCTCTCTCTCGTCTAGAACGGGCTGACAGAATCGGTTGCCGTTTTTATGGCATACGTTTTGGAAAGCGTTAATGAAATTTCCAAGAATTATTTGGCAAATGAAAAACGCTACAATTACACGACACCAAAATCATATCTTGAGCTCATATCATTGTATTCGAAATTGCTGACCGTAAAGACGGACGACCACATACAGCGCATACAGCGTCTAGAAAATGGTTTGATTCGATTAGCACAGTGTGGCCATCAAGTCGAGACATTAAAGGTACGTACGAATTGTACACAATACGCAAAACGTTCCAACATTGAATTCGTTAAAGTAAATCATGTTGTAATCACATAACGCAATTTTAATTTGATTAAACGATTTAGTATGTTCTTGCTGATCAAGAAACTACGCTCAAAGCCAAAAACGAAGCTGCTGATAAATTGATTAAAATCGTTAGTGCGGAAAATGAAATCGTTCAAAAGGAAAAACTAATAGGTATTGTGGTGCTAATGAAGAGATATTGTTATATTCACTTTCAACCTAATGGCATTGATGTTTTGTATGTGTGCACGGCGTCTCTTTTTCTGTCTGTCTGTCTCCGTCTCCATTTCTTGGGTTGATGCTATCATACTGCTCGTGTGCAGCGGCCGAAGAAGAGCGGAAAGTACGGGCGATTGAAGAAGACGTAACGATCAAAGCAAAAATATGTGAAGCGGATTTGCGAAAAGCTGAACCGTCGCTTATCGCTGCAAATGAGGCACTAAATACACTGAACAAAAACAATTTGACGGAATTGAAATCGTTTGGGACGCCTCCAAAAGCTGTAATTCACGTTTGTGCTGCCGTTTTAGTGCTATTTTCGGGAAAAAGCAAAATACCAAAAGACCGGAGCTGGAGAGCGTGCAAAGTTTGTTCCTTTTTTTGTGTCATTGTCGTTGCTGTTATTTCTTTAGAGTCCATAACTCGTCTGATTTGCAATTTGTGCTATTCCATTTTTTCCTCTTCTTCGTTTCGTTTCGTTTCTATTTCCTTATTTTTTTCGTTTTGTTAGCAAATGATGGGCGCTGTAGACAAATTCCTACACAAATTGGAGAACTTTGACAAGGAAAACATACCGACAAAAGTAATCAAAGCGTTACAACCGTACTTAAAAGTTAGTTTTTTTTTCCCTCAATATTTGCTGTTATTGTATTTTTGCAACAACAACAACAATAGACGAAAGAACGAGAAAAGGATATAAAACTTGTTGACTAATCATAACGCATTTTTTCTACGGTAAAGGATCCGGAGTTCGATCCGCAAAAAATCCTTGCCAAATCGACGGCTGCAAGTGGATTATGTGCATGGGTCATTAATATAATTGTATTTCACAATGTATTTCTGGTGGTTGAGCCAAAGCAACGAGCTTTAGAGGATGCACAAGACGAATTGAAGCAAGCTCAAGATAAATTGGATTTTCTGAACAATAAAATTTTGGTGAGTGCAATATCCCAATCGAACCACGATACAATGGAAAAACTTTCATTGGTAAATTATGAACAATTTCTCAGGAAATCGAGGCTCGTTTGAATTCGATTCAAAGAGAATTTAAGACAGCTATCGCTGAGAAAACCAAATTGGAATTTGAAGCTGAGAAAACGGCAATGACCATATCGTTGGCTCATCGTTTGGTGAATGGACTGGGCTCGGAGGCCATTCGATGGCATCAATCAGTTGAAAAGTAGTTTTTTTTTCTTTTCCTCTCACTGCAAATCAAAATGAGTTCGCGGTAATTGTTATCTGATAATTCTTGAAAATTCATTTTGCAGACTTCGTTTTCAAATTGAAAAGTTGCCAGGCGATATTTTGTTGATTTCATGCTTCATTTCGTATGTTGGTGGATTCACACCGCTGTACCGGCACGAATTGCAGGAGAACATTTGGAAACCAGCCTTCCGAGAACTTAAGGTGAATTTTCCCTCGAGTGTTTGTTTAATTCTCCTAAAAAAAATTCAAACTCGCTCCCTTTTTGTGCGTTTCCATTGAAATCACCAGCCCGAAATCCCACACACTGACGGTATTGATTCGTTGGATTTGATTTGTGATGATGCAACCATTGCCGCCTGGCATAATGAAGGCCTGCCAAACGATCGAATGTCAACAGAGAACGCGATTATTTTAACGAATGCTACGCGTTGGCCTCTGATTATAGACCCACAATTGTAAATATAGAATGAATGGAAATAATCGGCGAAGCCGCCGCTTTTGTACATGTTAGACGTTTCGTCGTAATTTTATTCTTGAATATTCTGCATAATATCAATTGTAGGCAAGGAGTGAAATGGATTCGACAAAAATATGGAAAGGAGTTGGTGATTTTGCAGCCGAATCAAAAATTATATTTAGATGAAATAGAAAAAGCCATTGCCACCGGCCATACGGTTTTATTGGAAAATATTGACGAGACAATCGACGCAGTATTGGATGCGTTGTTGAGTCGTCAATTTTCGAAACGTGGTGCAACAATAAAAATCGGCGATAAAGAAGTTGATTACAATCCACGCTTCAGACTGATTCTACAGACAAAGTTGGCAAATCCACACTATAAACCAGAGATGCAGGCACAAACAACGCTTATCAATTTCACTGTTACACGAGAAGGTTTGCAACAGCAACTACTTGGCACCGTTGTCAATGCCGAGCGCCCCGATTTAGAGAAATCGAAACAAGAATTGACGATGCAGCAAAATCATTTTAAAATCACGCTGAAATCACTTGAGGATGAATTGTTGGCTCGACTTGCGGCCGCTGGCGATAATGTTCTCGAAGATCCATCGTTGGTCGTCAATTTGGAAGAGACGAAAAAAACGGCAGCCGAAATCGAAGTAAAGGTCACCGAAACGCGAATAACAACAAAAGAAATAGATACAGCACGTGAAATATATCGATGTGTCGCTGAGCGTGCATCCATTCTATATTTCATTTTGAATGATTTGTGCAAAATCAATCCGATGTACCAGTTTTCGTTGAAGGCATTTATAGTTGTTTTCAAGCGAGCCATCAATCAAACGGAAAAACAGAACACTATCAAAGAGCGGGTGGGATCATTGCTTGATTCAATTACGTATGCCGTTTACATGTACACCTGTCGCGGATTATTTGAGAAAGATAAGCTCGTTTACAAAATGCATTTGGCATTCCAAATATTGATTCAGAGCAATCAAATTTCGTTGAACGAACTGGACTTTGTGCTGAGATTTCCGTATCTACCGAATTTACATTCACCGTTTGACTTTTTGCCGTCGCATCTGTGGGGCGGTGCAAAAGCACTATCAAATATCGATGCGTTTTATGGATTCGATAGAGATCTTGATCTGTCGATGAAACGTTGGAAAAAATTCATTGAAAGCGAAGCGCCCGAAATGAAAAAGCTGCCGGGCGAATGGAAAAACAAAACACCAATGCAAAAACTTTGCATATTGCGAACGCTTCGCCCGGATCGCATGATTTATGCAGCATCGTGTTTTGTGGAAGAAACAATGGGTGAGAAATATGTGGGTGTGAGAACGATCCCATTTTCCGAATCATTTACGGAGAGCTGTGCATCGACACCGTTATTTTTCATTTTATCGCCCGGCGTTGATCCGCTCCAAGATGTTGAGAAACTTGGTAAATCCATGAACATGTCGCCGGATTATCACAATTTTCACAATATTTCGTTGGGCCAAGGCCAGGAGCGTTTGGCTGAAGCGGCCATTGAGACAGGCAACAAACACGGTCATTGGGTGATTTTGCAGAACATTCATTTAGTAACCAAGTGGTTGCCAGTGTTGGAGAGGAAAATCATTGAATCTGAAGAAACAGCACACCCGGATTTTCGCTTATTTGTGAGCGCCGAAGCGGCACCAACACCTGAATTCCATTCCATACCGCAAGGCATATTAGAAGCATCGATAAAAATAACAAACGAATCACCGACCGGCATTAAGGCGAATTTGCATCGCGCCCTGGATAATTTCACGCAAGAAATGTTGGTAAGTTGAACCGACCGTATGGTAAACCAACGCCAGCCGGTCGGTCGGTCGGTCGGTTTGGGAGATAAAATAAATAACAAAATAAAACAAATGCGAATCGAATACTAAATATTCATGCATATCCTTTGTGTTTACGACCCCTTTTCTCTCTGTGCCAGGAAATGTGCTCAAAGGAAGGTGAATTCAAAGCGATTCTGTTCTCATTGTGCTATTTCCATGCCTGTGTAAGTGAGAGACGGAAATTTGGTCCAATCGGCTGGAATTCATCCTACCCATTCAGTATTGGCGATTTAACAATCAGCGTTTATGTACTATTCAATTATTTGGAGGCTAATCGAAACATCCCATGGGACGACCTACGCTATTTATTCGTGAGTATTCATTTTAAAAATATTCTAAACGTACGACCTGCTCAAACTCATGCCGATCGACAGGGCGAAATAATGTATGGTGGCCATATTACTGACGATTGGGACAGACGACTGTGTCGAACGTATCTCAACGAATTCATGCAACCCGCACTATTGACGGGAGATTTATTGTTTTGTCCCGATTTTGATGCCCCTCCAAATCTAGATTTAGCCGGATATCATCAATATGTTAACGATTTCTTGCCGAACGAGTCGCCGCATCTCTATGGAATGCATTTAAATGCGGAAATTGGATTTTTAACCACTCTATCAAATAATATGTTTGCGGAAATATTTGAACTACAGCCACGAGAATCGGGCTCGAGTTCAGTGATTCTGGTGTCACGTGAGGAGACAGTTAAGCAGTTAATTGAAGAATTTCAAGACAAAATTCCCGACGAATTTCATATGGCAGAGATTATGACACGGTTCGAGGAACGCACGCCATACGTTGTGGTTGTGTATCAGGAATGCGAACGCATGAATCAATTGTTGAACGGAATGAAACGATCGTTGCGTGAGCTTATGCTTGGACATCGCGGCGAACTCACAATCACATCGGAAATGGAATTGCTGGACGAATGCATAATATTTGATAAAGTTCCACCCACCTGGACAAAGCTCGCATACCCAAGTACGCTTGGATTGCAATTATGGTTTTCAAATCTTCTGCAGCGACATCAAGAGCTTTACAAGTGGTCAATTGATTTCAGCTTACCGATTTCAGTATGGTTGCCCGGGCTCTTTAATCCGCAAAGCTTTTTGACTGCCATAATGCAGGTTGCAGCCCGGAAAAATGAATGGCCATTGGACCGAATGTGCTTGACCATCGACGTTACGGGAAAACACCGAGATGATTACACGTACGTTGTTAGCATTAAAGAATACTATTTCTTTTGTGTTGCTTTGCATAACTGATGTACAGCATACATTGTGTGCCTGTGCCATACTGCTAAAGAAATCAGTCTGTTTATCGATAGTACTACACACTACAACACAACTATACACATGCCATTTTACCAATAATACCCATTTACTTCCGAATGAATTGCAGTGAAGCGCCTCGGGACGGCGCCAATATCGATGGATTAGTTTTAGAAGGGGCCAGATGGGACAATCTGATGAATTCATTGGTGAATGCCCGACTCAAAGAGCTGTTCTTCGAAATGCCACTCATTCACATCAGAGCAATAACAAAGGATAAACAAGAATTGCGTAACGTATACGAGTGTCCCATTTATAGAACTCGGTATGTACTGTAGAGAGAAAGTGTGAGAGCGGGAGAGAGAGAGCGGAAGGAAACTGTCCAATTTATGAGCTTCCTTTCCATTCATTTTCTCCATTCCGTTTTCGTTTCCAGCTTACGTGGGCCGACTTATGTGTGGACATTTAATTTAAAAACAAGAGAGAAACCATCCAAATGGATACTGGCTGGGGTTGCAATTGTTTTACAGCCATAAAACCATTTAAGTAAGAATGTTGAACATTGCCATATTTCCCTTCCATATCCGTATCTAACTAGAAATTTCTTTGATTAGTGATTGATTTTCGGTGTTGAACAATTAGCGAAAATGGCAAGAAGTGAAACGCAAATGGAAATATCAGGGTTTGAATAAAGTCCTCTTTTCGGCGGAGACGGGAAGTTCCAGTTTTAAAATGCAAATGAGATTATGTGCAAAATGAAAATAAGCGATAATAAGCTACTTTACATTTTACAACATAAACTAGTTAACGTAGAATTAAAAGGGTGCACAATTAGTGGCTGCTTGTTTACCATGGAAAAAATATAATAAAAATAAACTTAATTTGGTTCATGTGAATTTCTGCTGTAAGTCAATGAATTGAATTCTATATATTTAGCATATTTCATAGATTATTTGCTAGATTTACACTTTAGCGCTGAAACGTCGTTGGTGCAAAAGCTTTGTCATTGAACTCAATGCGAAACGTACTAAAGAAAACCGTATGCTCATCATCTCAGTTTTGAGCTGACAATTGGTCACGCATGAATTAGCATGTGAATATTGGTTTATAATAATTAAGCAGATAAATTTGTAAACGCTTTCGCATGTGCATATTGCCTCCATCCACATGTTGCTATAAATATACCAACGGATAGCCACGTGCTCGCAAGTAAATAAGTGAATTTCTCCGTATGTATTTGTATAATGTGTATTACAAGGGCACTGAATACAAGTATACGATCGATATTAAGTTGATTATTATCAGATATCTGTAGCGTAATCGCATTTTAAATAAATTCATTGTGGAATGCATTTGAGCACCCATTTAATTTGGGCCAAAATTAATTGCAAACGGACATGCTTTTTGAATCGAAGCCATTTTCAAATGAAATGGAACGAATATATAAAATTCAATCGATGATGCTATAGAAAGAACACGTACTTTCAGCGGTAAGTTCTTGGGAAAAAAAATGAAACGTGTTAAAGTTAGTTAACCTTGAACAATATCACAGCATAAACACAAATAAATAAACAGGACTGAAGCAGAATAAAACATTCATCTATTACTTGGCATTTCTAGCGAGAAAAAAAAATTGTATTACATTTGGAAGCACGAGAATAAAGCAATCTTGATACATTTCACGAATTTCAAAACCAATCGTTTTCCAGACACGGGGTTTTCATATAAATTTTTAATTTGATTGATTGCGCAATGCCGCTCAAAATACACATACAGAAACAAATAAACGTAAACGTGAAAATGGAATGACTGTTTGTGTCTGTTACGTATTTTTTTCCTCTTCCATCTCTCCTACGGAAATATAAATGTATACAGCATGCAAGCTTGAGTAGGCTACCAAATGTCACTATAAATAATAAATTTTCTAATGTGTGTGAAAGGAAATTTATGAAAAATGTGCGGTGGTATACGGCTAAAGAGGGTGACTCATCAACATTGTTTTCAACATTCGCACACGTAATAATATTCACCATTGAGCAGGTGGAAATGGTGCAAACGGCCAAGATATGACGGAACACGTTTCAAAATCAAGGAAAACAGCGGAAATGGCAAACGGTACGAAAATAGTCGGTGTTTATTTTGGCAAAGTGCGCGCGTTCAACAATCTATTGTTGGTCATTGTAAAATTTTGAACAATAGAGTTCCTTGAATTTCGTGTCCATCCAACATTTTCTTTCCTATTTATTTGTGAATGTTTGTGAGTTTGTATTCATTTTCTCTCATCTTTCCTTCTTCTTCTTCTTCTTCTTCTTCTTCTTCTTCTTCATGTTCTTTTTTTCTTCGTCATACCATACCCACTATCTTTTCTCACGCCATTTTGGTATTAAAGATAAAATTTATAGTCAAACTCGCTTTATGTAGCCCATTTGGTATCTTAATCCATCAGCATCACCCATAACAGTATTAAATTCATATTAAGTTAGTACAAGGCAACAGGACCAATGAAGACGACGGCGACGGCGACGACGACGAAAATTCGAAACACAACCAAATAAAATAAAATCAGACTATAAACCGTTCATGATATCAGATGGGCACATGTCATATTCGCACAAACACTGACGGAGCATAAAAAAATACGTGGAAACAGAATAAAACAGCACAATACTTCCTTTCTACATCAATTTCAACATCAGAATGATGAAGATATTGCGTGTTGATTTTTTGCTTCTGGAACAAGCGAGAAAAATAGAACAACGAAAAGAGAAGTGACAACCATTAAAAAGGGGGAGAAGGAAAAATCGAGAGAGAAAAAATAACGAAGCAACATCAAATATTTTGCTTTTTACAACTTTGGCTCTTTGTTCACGCAACTTTATTATTGATCAGTTGCAATATATTAATGCGTTGCCTATTCGCTTACGGATAAAATGTCTGACACAATAATGAATGCCGTTTTTACTTTAAACTTTGACTTTAAACTGAGCAGAAAAATAGGAAAGCCAAAAATACACAAACACAAGCCGACGCCAAATGGAAGGCGAAAGGAGTTTTCAAAACGAAACTGAAATGTATATTGAATTCTCGATGCTTCTGAGAACCAAATATTGGTTGCCCATTTTCGGTCATAAATCTCTATAGGATAAGGTATTATTTACGATATCTTATTGGCATTCTGCATGCAGCGAACAACCGTGGATTTTGTAAGTATGCATTGGATTGCAAAAAGTTGGCTTTTATCTTTTTGTCTAGTGTGTGTATGCATTATATGCTGGACATGTGTACACAAGTTGCGGCTTTCCGTTTTCAACTCGTTATTTTCAATAATGCGCTTTGTTTAGACTAGCTGGAATTCATAAAGTGAACGATTGCGTTTCGAATCATACAAGAGGAAAATAGTATGCTGTGATGTACTACTAGCCAAAGTCTAGGGGACAGACACGATTAAAAAAATAGTGATATTTCGTTTAAAAATAGCAAAATTAGCAGAAATTAGAGAGACTGAAACTTTTTTGTTCCATACATTGAGCATTGCCAATACATTTCCTTATGGAGGTTGTTTTGTTTATTTACCGTTATTTGTCAACAAGTCTGCCTATATCAACGCATTGCACTGTACATAGTATATGTCCATAAGAAATACACAGAGACAATGCAAAAAGATAGGCAGATTTGTTTACAAACAACAATGAATAAACAAAACGAAAATCTCCATAAGGAATGCATTGATAATACTAAATGTGTGGAAGAAAAAACTTAAAAAATTAGCAAAAACTTATGAAATTAGAAGAAACAATGGAAAAATCGTTCAAAATAGTTGAATTAGGACAAATTGATACCGTGTCTTGCCCCCAGGCCAAAGTAATCTGCGTTTTATTGGGGTTGCTTTGGTAGTACATCAACATTTTCCTCGCATGATGACGCTTTCTTCCTCTCATTTGCTTTGTGTAAGCCTTTGAAATCACACTATGCTTATTTGTATATTTTTCACACGTCCCCCAATATCTGAACATATCTATATGTTTGGTATTGAAACCGCCACAGGGAATGTATTCATATTGAGCGTAAATAATAGATTACAATGTACGTCACAGAAGGCTATTTTTATGCAGATGAATGATTCCATGTAAATCTGAATATGTTGCAAGATTTGACACCCACCGAAAATCGCTTTTTGGTGATGCTCGTCTTCATTTCTCTTGCTTTATTTTTCCATTTGCCCTTACGGCTTCTGTGAATAGCTTGATGCTTTGGTGGTGGACGTATTTCATAATATTCATCTTCTATCGAAGATATTTTGAATTACTGACCCATTTTTCCATCTCTTATTCTTCTCACTTCTCCCTGCCTCTATTCCGCCCCTGGTTCATCGATATTCTTCGCCTTTTTTGACAACAATACATTATCATTGGAAACACAATAGAAAACAAGAACGAAAATAAACAGATACACTCAAATCGACAAATTGCCACAGCATACAAATTGATTTGTTTTACCACATTATTTCATTCTTTGATAAAATAATATTAATCACTCATTTATCATTTGGTGTGGACATCAACCAGATTTGCGCAAAAGGATCGAAATATCAAAAAGCCGATCCACATAAGCGAAAAAAAGCCCCCGTTGTCTGACAATGAATAATGTTGATAAGATTTTAATATGATTATTCAACTGATATATCATTCACTGTGTGGTCAATTGTACTGATGTTACGTTAACAAACTATTGATAAAAAAGAGTTAAAGTTTCTTGTTTCCAATGCTTAGTTTGTAATTCTTTTCTAGTGAACACACAATGGTTGCTGCTATTCATGCACACAAAGCCATAACTGCGTTTAACAAGTGACATACTTTCAATACTTTTCATACTACGCGAGAGAGGGAGAGACAGGCTAAAAAAAGAATAATGTGGAAAAGTTTCCCACGGTGAATGTAATACACTGAGTGTCGCTATGAGATTTTCGAAGAGAACAGATGCCAAGAGCGAAAAGGTCGAAGATTATAATGTATCGAAAATTGGATGCTGATAAGAGGGAGAATAGAAAGAAGAAGAAAGAAAAATAAATATCATTTTTAAATGGCCAGACACAACATTAGCCTCATTTCATTTTTCTGGTTAATTGCATATGCCAACGATATCTGATAAGTTATGAGCTTATAATATTCTGATTATATATTCAGAGTGTGTAATTGTTATTATATATTGCTAGAATAGGTCCTCATTATTTTGTGTGTTGCTTTTGTCAGCATTGCTATCGTTTTTATATATTTTTTTCAATCATTCCTTTAATTAAAGTTGATATTGATTGCCAGAATGTTAAACAGCAGCCGAGAAGATAGACTATTGCCAATCAGCAAATACGTGACTTATTTGCAACAATCAAGTAAATTCTATAACGATGAAAACAATTCTCGAATTCAATGAGAGAGAGAACAGGCGATCTGTGGAGAAAATATGCACGCCACCAGACCATTCGCATCAAAAAGTATAAGCGTATTGCAAATCGACAGTTCCAATCGACCGGATTTGTGGCTCCATGCCACCCTTGTAGTCATTCATTTCGATGTTTCACCGCATGGAAATGTTCGCAGACTTATCATTGCGCATTATTCATTCCGTAAACGATTTTTATTTCAAAAGAGAGAAAGAGAGAGAAATCGAAATAAACGTTGATGCCTTGTATAATAGATATGTGTTCATTGGTTTCACGATGAAAATGTGATAAAAATCAAATTAGCACACTGGATACAGATGCCAAATGTTCGACGGATCAACTTTGATTTAATTAATCTCGCATTCATAGATTATATT